CTCTAGCTTCTCACTGTAATTTCAACACTGTCGGTACTTACTGTAATTAATAGAAAAAATGCCGCGCGGTTCCGCAACAGCTGCTAAAAATCACACATCCTGGCCACCCCGGAGTTACCCTCGCCCGCTTGAAAATGTACACGGAAGCTATGAGGTCTCTTTACTGCGTTCCCTATTTAACACCCCATTTTGGTGCGGGGAGAAAAAATCCAGATATGCACTGTCATCCGTACCTTGGGGCGTTGAGCAGCCGGCGCTGCACTTTGTTGTTCTGACCCAGCAGCAGGAGCATCAGTTTTCGGCTGCTGTCCTGTAAAAAAACAAAAAAATTGGATATCAAATACATTGCCGGCAAAATCAAATCTGAATTGCCATACTGAAATACGGATGGCTGAACTACATCATAACTCATTTGAACGCCTATAAGGAGTTACGTAGGTGCAGCCAACTCAGTACCGAATGCAATATGAAATTATCAATAGAATACCGCTGATTAAGAGCACTATACTCAAAATAACGCCAGAAAATGCCTCTAATAACGCCAAAAAACGCCAAAAAATGCCTCGGCATGCACCAGAAGCTAGCTAAAAATGAGACGAAAGAGCGAGAGCGAGTCAATTTGCTAAATGTGAACCTCCGACAGATGTTCCGGTTGGCTCGTTCGGATCGAAAAAGAACGAGTAGCCTCGCACCGCCGGGTCAGTACTTTCGGCATCAATGTTCACAGCCCCCTGCTGGCCACTACGTTTCTGCAATTTCGCACTTTCTCCACTTCCTAAACCAATAATCAAATATCATTTATAAATCAGGAAAACACTACTTCTTTTCCTTTTTTTTTTTTTTTTTCCCAGCAACTACTACTCAACAGCAGGAACAAAATTTACCAGAAACTGAAGAGACTGCAGCAGTTGTTGGGCGCTGCTGCTGCTGCTGCGGTTCTTTAGCTGCTGCTGTTGCTGCTGCACGATGCTCTGACGACAAATCACGGGCAGATTGGGCGCCTCCGGATACTTCTGTAGGCAGCCGCTTTTTCGCAATATCTGCCCAAGAACGTGTACCTTAAAATAATCACCGCTTCAGTCTCGGGATCATTACTTTGCGAAAAAAAGTCATATTTCGGTGATCGAAAACTGCACCGCTTTTTTACATCGCTGAAAAATAGAACTCGGCTCACCTGGTGCACTCGCTGCAGCTGAGCCACTTGCTTCCTCGGCTTTGCCTTTGCCACTACCACCAACAGCACTGCTGACTGTAGCTTGAGCTTCGGGAACTTTACCTCCCGCTCCGCTCGCTGCGACTTCCGGCGAAGGCGAGCGACCCTAAAAATCATATGAACTGCTATTTTTTTTGAAAAAATCATGAAAAAAAGAAACCACTAAAACAAATTCATAACAAACTGCTTAAATTTTTAAGGAAAAAACTAACTTTTTTCTCAGGTTTCTGCGCTGGAGACAGAAGTGATTTGGCATAGTGCCCTTGCGAACCCGTTTTATAGTAAGTGAGATCATGCTGAGTCCACTGAAAAAGAAACACAAGCATTATGCTTGACGAATGTTTTTAAAAATGGATATTGTTTTACGAAAACTCAAGGACAGCTCAAAAGAAGCAGATCTTAAGGAAATTAGTAGCTCTTACGTCTTCCGCACTAGCCTTGCCAGACGAGGAGTGACTGCTGCGACGATCTGGCGACGTTGCTCGGCTAGCCTGCAGCGACACTGAGATGTCCGCCTTCGTCTTCTTAGTGGGCAACGTTGAAGCTGGAGGCTTCGGGTGAACTTGCTGCTGATGGGCAGCAGCGCCTGCACCTTCACCGACATGTCCTCTTCCACCTGCTGCCTGAAAACTGCCCTTTCTTTTATTGGGAAGGCAAAATACGGCAATTACTAAAACTCAGCTCAGCTCAACTCGGCGAACCAGGAACTATGATTGCTGAGGAACAGTAGGCGCAGTCGGTCGAAAGAAGGAGCAGAGACAGATTGTGTTGATTTGAGTCTCAGGGAAAGAATAATAGGAGGGAAGGACTGCACTATTAACCGAAAATGTAATGAGATCTTGTTTAGAGGTAGAAACCGGGGAGATGGAAGGAGATAAGAGGAAGGGCGAAGAGAGGAAGGCGGAGGGATGAAAACAGAAGGGAGGAGGGAATGAACTGTATAAGTTTATAATGCTAGTATCTTCGCTTTCCGTAACTCAAACTCAAACCCACAAAAACGAGGGCATACTGCTCGAGTGCGCCAAGCAGAATTTTTGCTCAAAATGCAAAATTGTGCTTTTTTCCCGCTTTATTAGAAAGTACTGTTGACCAAACGCAGTTTACCACACAAAATATTTTCCGCGCCATAGGCGGATCCAGGGCTGTTTCCTGAAGGAAGGGGGGGGGGAGGGGGGAGGGGAGCGATTTTTTCCTCCCCCGTCCATCGCTACGTCGGAAGACCCGTCAATGTTCCAAGCGCCCTGTTTTTCAGAAATACCGAAAGCACATGGGCTGGCTTATCCTTGAACTAGCAGCAGGACGTTCGGCACTAACATTTAAAATTACCATTCCGATCTCTTTTCGTGTGACTGCCCTATCTGTGAGATGAAGTTAGAAAATCGGTTCGTCAGTTTAACAGGCAGCCATATCAAATAGATTATAATTGCCAGAAAAAAGTGAAAGGTGGGTTTTTTGGTTAGAAGAGCCTTTTGATTTTTTCCAGTAGTTCCAGTGATTTCCAGATTTTTTTCAATATGTCCGATTGCAGAAGTTCCACTCAACAAAATTCTCATTATTTTAATGCTCTGCATATACAGCGCATTTTATAATGCAACACAGAAGCTGCTCACCTTAGTTCCTTGTCCTCGTAGCAAATTTGGATCACTGATATAATCGCCCAATGATGTCACTCGTCGCGGAACCGGATATCTTGCAAAGCCCTGCAAATGCAAAAGGCGTGCAGTAGACAATTTCAAGCATACATTTCAATGTAACTTTCATGTTCATTTACACAAAAAAATGCAAAAAATCACTCCTTCCCTACACATCGTACATCAGTTCAACGGATGAAATAAAACAAGTTTTAAACATCACCACACATCTCCCCCTTTTCTCCCTCCCTTCCCCCTTTCCCCTCGCCCTCTAATGGACTTTTGCATTTCATGATGGAAAATAACTCACTACAAAGGATGAAATGTGACTCCCTACGCTATCAGTACATGAAAGAAGTGGACTTCAACCCCTCTTAGTTTAAATCTTTAATGCTGCATTAATTGATTATTGGCTTCATGGGAAAACAATATTATTTGGCAACAAAACAGCAATCACCTAAATCTTCCAGATATCCCATTTCGGGGACCTAGCCAAGCGTTGCAAAAGAAACTAGTGGCGAATATGAGTAAGGGATGAAGTTCGCCTATTCCCTTCGCCATGTCCTAGTTGCCCTAGGCTCCC